GGGGCCCTGGTGGCGCTGTATGCGGGGGCCGCGCCGTTCCTGGCCCCGGCGCTGAGGAAGGTCTGCCTGCCCTTCGTCCCTGCCACTGCCACGCAGGTCCGGAACGTGCTGAGGATGCTGGAGAACAGAAGTGGCTCCCTGGTTGACATTGGTAGCGGGGATGGGCGCATTGTAAGTCGCAGACATCGCCTGCCGTGTAACACCTCTCAGAAAAGGGGCAAACGCTCGAGCCACGTTGTTTTCTCATGTTTGTGCACGTCTTGGATTGAGTCTTATGGAAAGGCTCAAAGCTGAGAAAGATTTACGTGCTGCTTAAATGAGTAATGAAAATTTTTTTGCTCCTGTATTAATTGCAGCTTCTCAAGGTACTGTACAAAATTATAACATCATCAGCTGGAGGGATTTGCACTGTGTTCACATGAAAAGATGCAGTCAAAGTAATTTATATTACGATTGTCCAAGAGCTGTGATGCCACATAGGTCTGTAGCTGCAGCACACGAGGCTATGGGATTAAATAACACTATGCTTTTGGAGCTTCAGCTCTATGCTTATTATATAAAGGTGACAGAAGAACAAAAGGTAATGAGAAAAGAGTAATGGATTACAAAAATAAAAATCAAAGTACTGTGTGAAGTGCTGGCTGCCCCACTTAAAAATGAATGTGGTTATGCTAGAATAATTATCGAGAGAAATGGTGAGAGTTGCTGGAGCAATACTGTGCTTTCAGGATATTCTTTGAACCCCAATTGGTGAAATATGGATGGTAGGGTTCTAGTGTGAGCTTTTTTGTAGTTACGATGTTCTGTGTGACATTTTGTGACCTTTTGCTTTAAGTCAGTTTTAGCAACAGGATGGCTCACTAAAAAAGTCTTTAATGGAAACAAGCATATTAGTTCTTGAATGCTACTTTAGTCCATATTTTGTGTAAATTGAGTCAACCAAGGTCAATATGAGAGAACTACAGTTTCTGCTGCCCTGTCTGCTCAGCATTCTGGCTTTTGACCCTTACCTAAGACATCTAATTTGACCAAGTACTGTGTGTTTAATTCTGATTTTATATATATATACACACATATATAATATATATATAGATAGAGAGAGAGAGAGAGATGCCTAGATGGAAACTGAAAGCTCTTTGGAGAGCCAGGTGCTTCATATTGAATGTTTGGTGTTGCCCTAATGCATCTGTCCTGAAAACCCAAGTTGAGCTTCTCTTCAGATGCTTTTAAATATTTAGCACTTAACTCAGGTGTAATTGGTGGATAACTATGACCATATTTTTATTTTCAAGGATGGTAAATAATGTCAGATTCTTTTAGTATATTTGCAAATGCTGTGTGCATGATGGAAGATACATTCTTTTAATAGCGTGAAACACACTATCCAGGTAATAATGTTTGAGAAGTTTTATTAAGAAATGTGTACTTTTTCCTGATTTCACATTGACTGTTTTGTAGTTCATAGTTCATTTGGCTTTTCCTGACAAAAACTTCTAACTAACATTTTAAATTATGACTTAAACTTTAATTCTAGAAACGGATGTATTTTTGTATTTTTCTTGTTTTTTTCCTTAAAAATAAATCAGGAGGCTTTGATCTTGTTTGAAGACACTTGCAATAAAGTTTAACAATTCTAAATCTTGGGGTTTGATTTAGCGGATTGCCTTTGAAAATGTATTTATCTTAATTACCTTTTGCTTTTTAAATTGGCACATGAAACTTAGCACTGGATGAAAGTTATACTGCTGAGATTTATGTGTGGGTTTTTCCAATTTTTAAGCTTACATTTAAATTCTTTACCTACATTTTCGTAAGTGTAGGTCAAGAGATTGCTTTTGTGCTCTTTTCATTGGTAAGTTGTTTTGGCTCTGATTCAGGGGTCTCTTGAGTGCTCAGCAATCTCTGCTTTTCAAATAAGTGCTTTAATTTTGAACATTTCTGCTTATATATTTCACAGCTCTCTGCATGGTCAATTTTGATACTCTCTGATTCCAAGGTAGTCATGAATATGTTAAATTAAATTTATATGTAAATCATATACATACTACAAGCTTATAGGTTTTGGCCTGTGAATGTTTAAGTGGTTCATTTTATTCATCTGAATAGATCTATTAATTTCAAAGGGACTAGTCATAACAGTGACATGTAGATTGACGCTTTGTTCACTATACTGCTAATCTATTGTGGTTTAAAACCTGAGTCACTTAGAAAAGTACATTCCTTTGATATATCTTGTAAATAAAGCTATATGCTCCTGTTTAGATTAATACTCTTTCTCTGCTCTAAGTGAGATTTATTTTCTTCCACTTAGGTAATAGCAGCTGCAAAAAGGGGATTCAAAGCTGTTGGTTATGAATTAAATCCCTGGCTAGTCTGGTACTCCAGATACCGTGCCTGGAGAGACGGGGTACATCAGAACACCAAATTTTGTATTTCAGACTTATGGAAGGTAGGTGGTGAAGTACGTAAAAATTTATCTGGGATGTTTGAGAGATTTCCATAATTTGGAGATACTTTCTTGAAATAACCAGAATGCTGTCTGGCCACAAGGTCCTATGTTGGTCTTTGGGAAAATTACTTGGTCCTCTGGAAACTAGACTCACTGCTCTGCTGCTTTTGAGCTTCTTTGGAGAGCTGTCCTTTCTCAGTGCAGGCTCCTCGAGCACACTGTGTCCTGCTTGTGCCTCATGAGTAGTGATGTGGGGTCCTGTAATGTCAGGTTTCACTGGAGTTGATTCCACAGAGTCAGTAAGAAGACTCTTAATTGCTTAATGTGCAAGATCACCATATTGTCTGATGTTTCGTTAGTTGTGTTCTTTTCTAGCTGTGCAATGTGTTACCTGGTTTTGAGTGTTGCTTTAAGGTAACTTATATGTGACTGAGAATTTTTTGCAGTTTTCAGTCATCTGCATCCCAATTGTTTCTTTAATGAGGTGGGGAGTTTGGGTCGTCTTTATGTGGGCTTCTCCCTTGCTATCCCTGTCAAGGTTGGAGGGTTTTTTTAAGTTTGTTTCTGGCTTTTTTTTTTTTTTTGGAGGGCAGGGTTTTGTTTTTTTTTTAAGAATGACATTTTGAAATTTGTAGAATGGATACCAGGAAATGTGGGGAAAGGTGTGATTGTAATGTTTTTATCTTTGTTCAGAGAGGAAGTTTTCAGGGCACTCACTGAAAAACCCAGGCAATTAGCTACCTAGGAAGTTTTTATAGGTAGCTAACATTTAACAAAAATGGGGGCAAACTTAGAAAATGTATCCCGTTTTTATATATATGTATGAGTTGTGGAAAAAACTTAGTTGTGAATAAAATAATGTGTGCATTTTCTAAATTGATACTTTTTTGTGGTACTAGAACTGTGCCATATTCTTGGCCAGGCAGTAGCAGGTTTTTTTGCTGTTCAACGGTCTACAGTAATATGTAGAAATTTCTGTGATGTAAAGTTGATATGGGATCTCCTTTCTTATTTTTGATATAAATCCCTGTTGAAAGGAGTGCAGCTAGAGGGATTAGTGGAAAAAAATGGTGAAAACGTCTTCAATTATAAGTGGCATTTTAATTAAGACTTGTTCTCAAATTTTATTTTAGGTTTCTTTTTCCCATTATACGAATGTTGTTGTTTTTGGGGTACCTCAAATGGTAAGTTTATTGTTTATGCATTGTTTAATTATTTTCATACTAAGACATTCGATGTTAGTACTTTTTGCAAAATGTACCAACCTGCAGAATGTCAAAAATAGTACTAGTATTTTGATATTGCATTGTTGCTTATTAATGCCCATGACAAAACCTGCTAAAAATTGCAGGACTATGCAGACTGAAGCTCTAAAAACATACATATTTTTTCAGAAATATTTTATGTCCGTTAGTTCAGAACCAAAATGAAATTTGCTTTGCTCAAGTAGCTTGAGGGAAGATAATATGTAGGTTCTTTAAAATTTCAGTTTTTCATACTGAAAAAATGAGGATTTTGCAGGGTGAGAATGAAGTAGGAAATTTGGCTGCAGCTGATTTCTGAGAACCTTCCTAGAGGAAAGTATTGAACTTTGCTTATGTTCTTCTCCAAAAACTGGATCACCTCAAGTCATCACAGCAACTGGTATATTGAAATAATCCCTTGCCCTGTTAGACTGTGAGGGTTTAGGAAGAGAGACAAACATGTCAGGTATAATTGCTGGAGAGCAAGTGCACAAATTCTTTGTCTTTTAAGGAAGGCTCTTTAGCCTGTGTTCGTTGTGTCCCTGGGGAAAACGCATTCTTCAAAACTGCTGTAGAAATGGAGTTGCATAGTGATTGCTTCAGTGATATTCAGTAAGTTCAGTCAGACTTTACATTTAGTTTGGCTTTCAGCTTTAGTTTGCTTTTTCACATTTTTACTAGAATTAGAATTTTCTATATGGATTGCATGCGTATGGAGGAGCAAAACAAATATCCTGTAAATGTTTCTGTATTGCTTCTTTCCCTGCTAAATCAGATGTGGGATGAAAGGAAGTAAGATCTTGATGTGATGCTGTATCATGGAACTCTGATAGTATTTCTGTAGTAGTGTAGCAGGAAGATGCAACAAGAAGAATAATAAAGCTTCCCTATTCTGTGCTTTGTTTTGAAAACTGAAGTGGAAGTGCATTCTCCCTCGCAGGTTTTGTGGATGGCGAGTTAGTAAGAAGAACTATGGTGTTACTTGCTTTACACTACAGGTTTGGATGTTTTGTGCTCTGTAGCTCGAGTTCCAGGAGGGGGCAGTATAAATATTTGAATTTGCAGTCAGAAAATCTGTAATTGAATTGAGGGAAAAAGTACAGGTGAATAAAGATATTTCAGTAACCTAGAAATAAACAAAAGCCCTGGGAAAATGTGAGTAAACCTAGCAGAAATACTGACTTAACTTTAAATGTAATAGTATAAACTGAGATAAATTAATAACAGCTATGACAGAAAGAGAAGCTGTAGGGCTCAAAATAACTTCAGTAAAGTCAGTAAATACCAGGCTCAATTCTTCCACTAAGAATACTGTCATAAATATAAAGGATCCAAGCATATGAAATACTTTGTTTCCTGAGCATTTTTTTGTTCATGATCCCCTTTAAAGGGGGAAGTTGTGAATACTTTGCCTTCTGAATGACTACATTGATTTTCTAGAAACATGAATGTATTTCCTCTTTTTTACTGAGGGCAATAGATCTCTTTAGCGTTTTTGATCCTACTGGTCTGGTTTGATGCTGTCACACAGTACTTGCATTTCATATCCAAGTTTAGCTTACAGATCTTGGATTTATTTATCTTCAGGGAAGACTAAAACAGCTCTGTTCTTGCAAGTGTCTGGGGAAAGGTGTATTTATCTATGAGTCATTGCAGAGACTTTAGTTGTTCAGGGTGGAAATGACACAATTCTTACCAGGTGTTCATGTTCACAGCTTCTGTGTATTTTAACTGATTATATACACTGTACAAAAGGTTTATGAAACTGCGTATTTATTTAGACATACAAAAAAGAACCCAGCCCTGGCTTGATAAAATACAGTATGATTGTAACACCTAACATTACTCAGAGGTTGAGCTAAAAAACTTGTTTAGTTCAAGGGTACATTTCTTTTTGGCTGAATTATTAAGGAAGTTTTCTGATTTCAGCTAATAGAGACATGAGATGTCACTAATTTTCCTAATTTCTTATTAAAAATTAGACTATGCCTATAGTTATAATGCCTGTAACATCTTAGTCCTTCCTTTTCTGGTGTCTTAGCTCAGTTTGATACCAAAGTGGGCTTATTTTTCTGGTTTATTTAAGGTGTGGTAACAAAAAAATCTTTAGAAGCATTTATGGTATGGATGAAATCAGAGCATAGAATGCTTAAAAATATTCAGAGGTAACTCTTTGATATATTAGGCCTATGACTATAATTTTCCTAAAATACTGCATTGTAAGCTGTAATAGGATGCTACATCAAAGGCATCCCCTCCATGTATGTGATAGTGAAAGCTATCTGCAGCCTTTGGAAATACATTTTCTTCAGTCAATCTTGTTTTCTAGTAATGTGTTTTGTTGTTTGGGTTTTTTTTGTGTGTGTGAATTTTTTATTTTCTGTCCTTTGTGATTAAATTGAGCTGTACTTTTTTTAGCCTTTTAATATCTAAATGCTATGTCATGATATCAAAGTAAATAGACATGTACTTCTACATGTAGTAGAAGTAACTTGTAGATATTGCTGCTATAATTACTCCCAGAGATAGGTTCAGTATGTAAGAATAAAAGGAATTCCAAATGGATGTGCACTGAGCACATCAAATTTTCCCAAGGACAAAAATTGCTAAATCTATCAAGTGTAATTTTTTTCCGGAACATAATCACTATCTGGGCTGGGAAAGAAATTTCTGTGAAGTCTAGATGTGTTAATTCATTTCTCACTTAATCCATAGCAGAATTTGAAAGTACTTACTGGAGACTGAGTATCTGACTGGGCAGAGTGTTGCTCTGTTCTAGAAGAGTAGTGATATTTCCCTTGGCTTTCATGTCTGTTCAATTTCTGTGAATGGACAGAAGTTAGACTGTAAATCTTCAGCCAAGGAGAGCTGTATAGTGGAATTGGTTGGATGGCTACATCCAGAGGGTAGTGGTCAATGTCTCAGTGTCCAGATGGAGGTCAGTGATGTGTGGTGTCTTTCAGGGGTCTGTATTAGGAACAGTACTGTTCAATATCTTCATCAGTGACGTAGGCAGTGGGATTGAGCGCACCTTGAGCAGGTTTGCAGACAACACCAAGCTGACCAGTACGGTTGGCGTGCCTGACGGGATGTAATGCCACTCAGAGGGACTTGTACAAGCTTGAGAAGTGGGCCCATGTGAACTTCATGAAGTTCAACAAGATCAGGTGCAAGGTCCTGTACCCGGGTCAGGGCAATCCCCAGTATTAGTAGAGGCTGGAGGATGAAGGGAATAAGAGCAACGTTGAGAAGAAGGACTTGGGGTTACTGGTGACTGAAAAGCTGGACCGAGCTGACAATGTGTGCTTGCAGCTCAGAGGGCCAACTGTATCCAGGGCTGCATTAAAAGCAGCATGACCAGCAGGTCAAAGGAGATGATTCTGCCCCACTCTCATGAGACCCCTCCTGCAGTATTGTGTCCAGTTCTGGGTCTCCCAACATAAGAAGGACATGGAGCTGTTGGAGCAAGTCCAGAGGAGGGCCTTCAAGATGATCAGAGGGCTGGAGCACCTCTCCTGTGAAGACAGGCTGGAAGGGCTGGGCGTGGTTCATGCTGGGGAAGAGGAGGCTCCAGGAAGACATTATAGCAGCCTTGCAGTACTTAAAGGGGGTCTGTAAGAAAGATAGGGATAAACTTTTTAGTGGAGCCTGTAGCAATAGGACAAGGGATGATGTTTTTGGAGTAAAAGAAGGCAGATTTAGATTAAAGGAAGAAATTTTTTACAGTGAGGATGGTGAAACACTGGCACAGGTTATCTAGAGGGGTGGTAGTTGCCCCATCCCTGGAAACACTCAAGGTCAGGTTGGATGGGGCTCTGAGCAACCTTATCTAGTTAAAGATGTCCCTACTCATTGCAGAGAGGTTGGACGGCTGGGCGTGGTTCATGCTGGGGAAGAGGAGGCTCCAGGAAGACATTATAGCAGCCTTGCAGTACTTAAAGGGGGTCTGTAAGAAAGATAGGGATAAACTTTTTAGTGGAGCCTGTAGCAATAGGACAAGGGATGATGTTTTTGGAGTAAAAGAAGGCAGATTTAGATTAAAGGAAGAAATTTTTTACAGTGAGGATGGTGAAACACTGGCACAGGTTATCTAGAGGGGTGGTAGTTGCCCCATCCCTGGAAACACTCAAGGTCAGGTTGGATGGGGCTCTGAGCAACCTTATCTAGTTAAAGATGTCCCTACTCATTGCAGAGAGGTTGGACTAGATTACCTTTAAAGGGCCTTTCCAACCCAAATAATTACATGATTCCATTTGCTGTTTCATACAGTACTGCCACAGGGATTGACATGCATATGTTAACAGACTAGAGATGACAAAGCTCAATTTCAGTAATATTTCACATACCAGTATTTTACCATATAAGGACCGCAGAATGTTTGCTTTGGCTTTTTGGCCATAGAATGTTTTAAGTGTGTCAGGATCTGTTTTGGGATTAGGCTGGAAATTTTGAGAGGCACTGACCTTGAGTGTTGCATAATAGTTCACTATACTTGGGGTGTCATAAATAAGATAAATTCAGGGGGCTGAACTCTCATTCTCTACAGAGCAGAATCCCACTGAATCATGAACTGGAACATGGAAAATATGTGGGGTTTTAATCTGTGGGACTATTTGCATTTCTTGATAGAATTTTTAGAATTTAGAGTTACAATTTTTGTGATCATGCTAGTCAGGGCACAGTAACCATTTTCTGGTTTTAGATACTTTTTGTCAATGCATCAGAGTCAGATCGTGCATTGTGAATATTTTCCTAATCTTCTTTCAGAAATTCCTCAAACCATGGAATTACCTTATTAAACACTTGAATTAGATTCTAAAGAGAATGCTTCTGGTTTTTACTGCTGCTGAAAGCTTTATTTGTTGTTGTTCAACAGATGCCACAGTTGGGGAAGAAGCTAGAAGAAGAACTTGAATGTAATGCCAGAATCATTGCCTGTCGTTTCCCTTTCCCTTGCTGGATCCCAGATCATACTACTGGAGAGGGAATAGACACTGTGTGGGCCTATGATTTGAAACATTCTAGAGGACATGAAACAAAGATCTTGGAAGTTACACCAGAGACAGAATTCTAAACATCTAAATTATTTTTGTTTTGAGATTTTTGGCTTTGACTTCATCTGTAAAGATAAACTTTAGTAGAGCCCTGGGGTATGGAGATACATATTCACTAAAGTAACTGAAGCACACTGGTTGTCTGAAAGCACAAAAAGGTTAGTGAAAGGTGCAGTTAAATGGCTTAATGTAGTCACTAAAAGTTATGAGAAAATTTTATGGAAGTGGAAAACTTTAATATGGAAAATGGATAAAAAATTATTCACTACTGTTAAGGGGAATATATGTATAAGTTAAAATGTTCAAATTGGTAAACTTAATTTATGCATTCTTTCTTTCTTCTTGCATAGCTTTTCTTATTGGTGCTGGAAGTGGTGTGCAAGTGGGTTCTCAAATGACCTGTAGTTCCCAAATGTCTGTAGGCATAATGCTGCATATATAAATTAAACTGATCCAAGTTGAGTATGGTGATGATACCAGGGTTTGACACCTCAGCCTTGAATGTGGGCTTTTAAAAATTGAATATGACACAACACGCAAACACAGCAATTTGTTTATTCATTAACACAAGTGAAGCCCTTGATTATATTAATGTATTTTTGTTTAACTTGTTCCATGAAGACAAAACAGCAGAAATGAGCTTTTACTGAACAGTTACTGGTATATGCCTCTGCAGATGTCCATGATTTTTCCTAACTCTTTGATGGCAAAAGTCACCTGCTTGTCAGGGAAGTATCACCACTTCTGTGTTCTCAAACCTTGGGTAAGGTATTGGTGAGAGTTGCTTGAATGTGTTATGAAGACTGTCTCTGATTCCAGAGCTAGTTGGTGTGGCTAGCTTGGTTAAATCTGATTAGACCTAAATTATTTTGTAGTCGGAGCAGAAGGAAAGTTTTCAATCATGCTTCATTTTTCCCCTCTACTTTTCTGAGTTAGGCCATTTGATGCAATCTCGATCTGATAGCATCACTGCATGGCTTTTCCTTGGAGTGAAGCAAGTTCTCCCTGTCTTTTTTATTGATACTGGTTTGCAGTGCTGTGTTGGCACTGCTATTTCCTTTTCTGACATGGTTACAACACTTTTATGCTTTTCAACAGTCTGCTTCCTTGGTCTTCCTTTTGGTTCCCAGGTAAAGTTTGGCTGTTATGACCCAGTAACAGTTAGTGAAAGAACGTAGCTTCCTCTGGCCCCAGTTAACATATAGACTGTTTGTTAAACAGTGACTACATAATTTTGTTGAACTTCTGCCTACATGGTATCCGTAGAATGGATCTGAACAGGCCAGGGAATTGTCAGCTGACCTCTGAGCAATCGTTACCACAACTGGAATTAGCTCAGGCCGAGGGAGAGAGATCCTGTGATTTCAGGTAGATACAAAGCCTATGACATTTTGTTAGGCATTGGGAAAGCACATTTGCTGGATTATAGTATCTGACTTGAAGAGAAGTTAGATGTTACATGGCATGTATAGTCTACACTTATGCATGTATAGTATATATAGTATACACTTGTATACTATATACTTATACCATACTATACCTATACCCAGACTTTTTTTTTTTTTTTTTAATGGGAGGGGAGAAGGAAGGAGCATTTACAATACATACCTACACTGCAAGTTTGAAGTGGAGCAGTTGCATAGTTTTGTCCTGAAAATATATGCAAAACAGAAGAAACAGGCAACTGTGTCTGCACTGGAATCTGCAACGGGGAGTTGATTTCAGCCTTGGATGGCAAGGCACATCTGTAAACGTGGAGACTGAAGAACACTGATTTCTGGTAAGCTGTCTTTTACAGCCTTTCATTGCAGTGTAACATAGTGCTTGTTGTAAAACTACACTAAACTCCTTCTACCGTGATTTAAGTGTTATAATGATTACACAGCATGGCAGGATGGGGCTACACTGGCTTATCTGAAGTGCCTGAATTTAATATCCCAAGGCCATAAATCTGGAACCTCAGGCAAAGAAAACTTAGAAATTATTTATATTGCAAAGGGGAAATGAGCTAATTAAGCTGAATCCTTCTATGAATTACTCTAAAGGACTAAATCTGCAGTGCAGTGCTTTGGCCCAGGTTTCTACTGCCTGCTTTCACTGGAGTTGGTTTGCAGGGAATTGAGCAGATTTACTTACTTTTTCTGCTGTGTCTGACTGTGTTTGTCTGTTGCATTATCATTTGCCTGTTCAAAGGTAAAACTGTATTTCTCAGTTCTGCCTGTGGTGAAGGCTTTGGGGAGTGTACTTCTTAGTTAGCACTTATGGCACCAGAAATATTTGTTGAGGAGGACGAGATAGAATTAATGACATGATGGTCTGAGCTTCAGGAGCACTAAGTGCTGTCCTCAAGGCAAGGAGAGATTTATGAATGCTTTTAAAGTAAAGCAGAGTGTTGATTCTTAGTCTGGCCACCTACTTTTGGGGGCCTACACTGAGACAGACAGTGATTGGAAGGTTTGAAATTCCTTATTTCATAAGGAAATGTTCTCTGTTTCCTGTTTCCATGGCAGAAGTGTGAAACGGGAAGCAAATTGCTCTAATTTACACATGGGAACTGAGAAAGCATATTTGTCATGTTGTCATCAATTTTTCTATCACTTGCTGTGTTTATTTGATAGTTTACAAGTTTAAATACTGAAGTGTGACTTCAGTTATCACTGTATGTATGTTGATACACTTCCAATTGCTAGAATAATATAATTTCATAGATATGCTACTTCAGAGTACAAACCTTAGAGAACTGGCTTAACCAAATTGTACTGTAGGTCTGAAGCCAAAAGTAGGAAACCTTCAAGATACATATACTGTTCAACACCAAAGTAACTCAGATACACGGGGAAACCTTTAGTTTGTCTTCTAGTAGAACCACTTGCCTTTTCGGAATTACTTGTTTTATTCCTTCCTTGCCCTGCCCCATCTTAGCAAAAATCTGCAACATAGCTGAATGAGTAATGCTTTCCTGAATATTGTAGAATTTGCTCTGTTTGAAAATAATACAGGTCAGAGTTCTCCAGTAGTCCAACTCTGAATTATTTTTATTTTATATTTTTCTTGTATATTTTTATTATTTTTTTTTTCTTTCTTTTGCATTGAGACACATTATGTTACCACCGGCTTTGTGATGCAAGATCAGTTGTACTAATTCAGCATCTGAGTGCTACAGTTACAATTTTGTAGTTTTCTATTTTGCATAAATCGGCTTTCTAGGGAGAAGGAGAAGGGTATGGCTACAAGAAAGACATCTGATATGCAGCTTGCTCAGTGTGCTGCACTGTCATTAGAGATACACAGCAGTGGCAGCCAGGCTTGTACAGATTTGTTTGTGAAATGTGCATGTTAGGCATTTCTGTTCTTGATTTATCCTCTGGTCTTATTGTATGCTGCCACTTAATCTAATATTGCTCCAAGGAAGTTAATTCTCTGTCTCTGAGCCGCTCTATATTTCTGACTCATGAGTTGTAGCCAGGTAAGAAGGTACAGAATCAAATTTAAAGTACCACATTTCACAAGCTGAATGAGTATGGTCTGTGGAAAAAACTTCCAAAGCCTGGGTTTTGAAACAGTCTTTCACTTTTAATGAAGGATACAGCTCAGGAGGCAACAGAGATAGAATTCTGCATAAATTTTTAAGAACAACTTGAGCTTTACTTTTGTTACAGGTGTATTCTTCAAAAAAGTTTTACTACTATGGTACCATTCTGAGATCTACAGGGGAAGTAGGCAGAGGTAGCATTTTGTTTATCTTTTGTAGTTTGAGCTATGGGAGGAAAGGAGGAAGGGGATCTTGTGGCACAAATACAGCAGCTGAAAACTATTTGAAAAGCCGTTTGAGAGACTAGCACATCAGCTCTGCATATTTCTCATTGGATAGGAGCATCCATACTAAGAATGGGCTGTGATGAGCATTCACTCAGAAATGGGTTAATGTCTGATACCATTACACTTGAATGAACACTAATTATTGATAGATTACCTCATACTTTAGTTTAACTTTTCATGATGGTTTACAAATACTGAAGCATTTATTCAAGAAAGGACATGAATCCTTCCAATTAATAGTTGAAGAGAGCAGACTGATACCAGATTTAATGCCAGTAAATTCTGCTTTGAGTGTGTTATTTTACATTTACAAGATTTGCATTTTTCTAGTTTTGCAGTGTAGCCTGAACTTGTTTTTCAGAAGTAACATGTTTCTTCTAGACTTCTTGAGTTCTTGGTAAGACAGTGTGGCATCAATGTATAACTTAAAAATCACCCTTCAGTGAGATAGCTGAGAGTAGTATTTTCAGTATTTTTATTTGAGGGAAGCTTATGTGCAATGTGCACTTGCAGCCCAGAAAGCCAACTTGGTCCTGGACTGCATCAAAAGAAGCATGGCCAGCAGGTCGAAGGAGGTGCTTCTGCAGCTCTACTCCTCACTTGTGAGAGCCCACCTGGAGTACTGTGTCCAGTTCTGCAGGCCTCAACACAGGAAGGACATAGGGCTCTTGGAGAAAGTCCAGAGGACTGTCATGAAGATCGTCAGAGGCCTGGAGCACCTCTCCTATGAAAACAGGCTGAGATAATTAGGGCTGTTCAGGCTGGAGAAGGGAAGGTTCTGAGGAGACCTTACAGTGGCCTTCCAGGACCTGAAGGGGCTAAAGGAAGGCTGGGGAGGGAATTTTTACAAGGGCATGTAGTGATAGGCCCCGAGGGAATGATTTTAATCTGGGAGAGGGTAGATATAGTTTAGGCATTAGGAAGAAATTAGTGGGAGGTATCCATGCCCATGCAGAGGGGTTGGAACTAGATGATATTTAATGTCCCTTCCAACCCAAACCATTACGTGATACAATTCTATGATATGATATGTATGGATAATTACAATTTTTTCCGTAATTCTGTTTTTAAATTCTCAATCGTTTCAGTATTTGCTCTTATTTTTCATATCTTTTTATGATTTGACTGATTTAATAAATTCATAGGATCTTCTAAGTTCCTTTAATATTTTTTTTTATATAAACTAGTTCACTTTTTTTTT